CCCCCATAATTTTGGTTAAGCTGATGAGGAAACACAAGGTTAGGTGCTTGGAGGATAACACGCATAAATGCAGTTTTAATCATTTCCAGAAATACATGTTTTCAATTATCATCTCTTGATGGCAGGTAGGAAACATTTCCAACAACACGTTTAAGGAGCTAACTCAAAACTGTTAAAAATCGAGATACGGACTAGTTTCACCATCGATGTTACAACAACACAATACAACAAGAAATCATAACCTGAGGCTCGTGTTTGACAAGTGCCCTTGGTACCTACTTGCCAAATGTCAACTGCAGGATAGATTTTAACATTGTCCAGGCTGAGGAATGTGTTTATCATTATAAATCTTGGGGCAGGGGTGCAGAATGTTCTCGATCACAAGATCATGATCGTATGGCCACTGGCGTGAAAATTGGGGAAGGCTGTAAAAATTTGTAAAAATTGGGGAAGACTCCCCCCCCCCCTTGTTATGGGGGAAAAACAAGGAGGCGTATTGTTATTTGTGCTACGTGTCTATCAAGCGTGCTGCTTTTGGGGAAGGAAAATATCAAGCAAGTTAAATTATTTGCTGGAGGTCTTGCAAGTGCCCTGTTATTGGGAAAAGATACTTCTTAGCTCGCTGCTTTCAGGGAAGGAAACTTGTAAGCGCGTTGCTTTTGGGGAAAGAAGTTGCTAAGCGCGTTGCTTGATGCAGAGGTGCAATTATAGCAAGACAGAAAATTTTGGGGAATGCGAATTACAAATTGGGGAGGGCTAAGAACTTTCTGCACCCCTGTCTTTTGGCGCTAGGAAAACTTGTAAAAAGGGCAAATAGTAGCACTCTAAAATCAGGGTCAAAATATTTTCAGGGTACTTAATAAGATCAGGGTCAAAGTTTGCACAAGGCCTCTGTCAATTACTCAATGAGCCGCACATGGCACCACCTGAATAGCAAGGTGTCCAATTCATAGACCCCACTCAGCAACACAGGCACTCCTTCATGTCTGGCCCATGAACCTGACATGCATTGCATGAAGCATGTCAGCAGGAGGCAACTCTGGGTATTGAAGGAATGCATAGACCAAATTTTTTGATATCTACGAGCTGAGAGATGCTGCAACCTTCAGTCTTTTTACACAGCCACCATTGATCACAGAAGTTAAGAATGAGAAACAGCCGACCCAAGCACAATCTTTGTCGTAAATTAGTTCAGAAGCAATCCAATTGTGCTTCCAGACCTATAATCAAGACACAACTAATCAATTTCTAAGATGACATGTACCTTCCTTTCATTCCTTACGCAGATAGCACACAAATAGTTTTACATTGCCATTCGATGGCCACTTCAAAAAGAATCGTCAGTTAAGGAGGCAAATAATTATGTGCCAAAAGCAAGACTTGGTTCCGACTCCAATACGCCTAGAACACAGAGCACTTAAGGTCAGAAAGCCACTTACCTAGATTTTCAAAGCCTGGGAAGAGTTAATTGCAGAGGAGAGTAGTCTTCTTCTGCCAGTTAGGAAAATGGTGTAGAATTTATGTATGGATTGTTGTTGGTACATAAAATCCAGGATCAAACTTTCGTGGGTAAAACTAATGTCTGTAGATTAGTAGGCTGTGATGACTGAAGGTGTTGAAATGGATTGACACTTTAGAGTCACAAAACTTGTGTACTGATTAGATCAGTAAGTTCCGAGTGTAAAAAGAGACACAGAATACCCCTCATTAGAATAAAACTTAATTTATTCTCTCAAAATATATCTACATACTTATCTACGTGGGTGCGGCCACTTTAGAATGCTTTAGATTAACAGAAATCTATAACCTTCAATTAGTTAGTAACACCAAAAATTCTTGAAAATAATACATAACAGACACTATGAAACGAAATTGTAAAACGAAGCAAATTGAAAACGGAGACTACGTTCACTATGTACGCAAATAATTTGTCGTAAAGTCGCGTATCCTCTTGAATTTTCAGAATTTTCCTCGGAATCACAATAAAAACAAGACATTTGTACCATTGTACCCTTGGCTGGCAGTTGGTCACCGAACTTGAATCATTCATCGGCAAGGGCGACCCCGCACTCATCTATGCGTTTTCTTGAGCGGGAAGTTTGAATTCACGCGTCAAGAAACATCAAATATCTTATTGTTAGATGGGAGTTAATTTCAGTAATTTTCGTCGCACGAATCGTGTTCTCTATTAAAATTTGATTAAGAAACATTCATCAGAATGCTTAACTTCGTACCTTTTTCAGTGGTCCATTGTGAAGAGAAAAATTTTTAAGACTGAAAATATGGATTTTGAAAAAAGTCGTGGCAAAAAGTCTTAGTACGATTAGCGACCTTCGTTCTCGCTTTTCTTCAACACTGTCGATTTTAAAGGAAAATTTCAAAACCTTTTTTAAAGGACGTGCAATAGACAGATTTTTCAATCCGAAAATAAGCGTCGAACAGCGCCGAATTTAGGTGCGGCACTTTTTAAAATGACTCTACTTAGTTGAAACTTAAAAAAGGCATCGAGAAGTCTTGAATAATTTTAACTATGCCGTAGATATAAACTGTTTACATTCAAAATGTTTGCTTACATAATGAGAGGAAAAGGGAGCTGAATGTGGGGGT